GAGGTCCACTCGCTCCTCGTCTATTGCCCAATCTAGCTGTAAGGCTGAGATCTACGCCGGTGCCATGGCGGCATAGGAGCTCCGCCAGCTGACCTTCTTGCTCACCGACTTAGGTGAGCGGCCTAGCTCTGTCCCGGTTCTGTAGGCTGAGAACAGAGCCATGATCCTCCTGTGTCAGGAGCCTCGACTTGAGGGCAGAGCAAAGCACATCCAGCTGCGCTACTTCCTCCTGCGCGAGCTATAGCAGTGTCGCCAGGCTCGCGTAGTACACTTGGCCTCTGGTGCCAACACAACAGATAGCTTTACTAAGGCGCTTGCGCCTAGAGATAATAAGCGGCACTGTTTGCAGCTTGGTCTTGTTCCTATAGACCAGGGCTTATGTTATCCGGGCATTTGCCCTGACTTGACTGAAATTATGGGGATGTTTTTTGACGACCCTGAAAATGTCAGGGTCCTTTTCGTCCTAGCCCTGAAGAATTCAGGGGGGGATCTTTCGGGACCCTCAACCCAACGAGGTTCTGCCAAACCCTGATCCATCCGAGCAGTTTCAAGGGGTACCCGGAGCCCGCCACACCCCCACTCACCCTTTTCCCGTTTCCCGCCCTTCCCCCTCCGTCCTCCCTTTTCCCACTCACCAAGATTCCCCCTCCCTAGATTTAGAAACCTCTCGCAATCTCCCTGCCCTGTATACCGAATCTGTATGGGGACTTAGCATCAATCTACAACATCTTAGGCTTACATGAAGCTGTGTGATTAGTTGGCTCACCTTGAATCCAGGCTGCTGCTTAGCGGAATGAATCTTTCCAGCCACAAATACACTTGTCAACATCATACGCCAGTGCTGCCTTTCTCTAACACCCTCCTCCTCGTTGCCTTGACCGCTAGTCTCTAATACGTACTCTGGTTCACAAATCAGGTTGTTAGGTAGATTCCCAGCACATCAGGTTCGTGTCTCTCAAGGCTAGGCTGGATAGCCAGCAGAGTGAAAATTCAGCCAGCCCTGATTTTTCGCGACGCTTTTGCCACAGACCTGAAACATCAGGTAGGCGCTACGTTTGACCCTGTATTTCTAGAGAAAATTTGGAGACAGGGCAGTCTTAAAGCCTAACATAAGCCTTGCTGGAGACTCTCACTTGCTAGGACCTTGATTGTCTACTCCTCTTATATATATCTTTCAGATTGGCCTTGTGGCTTCTCTTCCAGTGGCCGGAGTAGTAGTGCCGCCCTGGCTTGCTCCTGTCTTGTTTGTACTCTTGCTGACTGGTCTTCGGACCCCTTCCTCAGAGGCTGGACTAGTAGTGCCGCCCTGAGCTGTGTGCTTCTTGCTCAGCACTACCCCTTATCTAGCCTAGGGGGTTTGTCAACTTATACATACATTTGCATGTAGAAGTTATAGGCTAGAACAGGTGTGTGTTCGTAGAGAGTACAACCCAAACCCTATATTTCCCTTGTTCTTCCTTCTTGCTAATTCATTATAGTATTGTAACAGGTCAGCCCCTCGGCGCGTGAGACGGCGACGTCGACAGCAAGGGCAGCGGCTCCAATGGCAGCGTCGACGGCGGCGGCGGCTTGGCCAGCGGCACCAGCTGTGGCGGCGGCGGAGCTTGCAGGACTCGGCTGCGTGGCCGGGCTCCGCGACGGTGGGGCGGCCGGTGCGAGTGCGCTAAGACGGGGCGCTGGCCACTGCCATCCGTGCCGTGCGCGCGCTGGCAGCACGTCGCCACGGCAGTGCGACGGCGCCGTCACGCCGCCACGGCTTAACGTCGACGACGACGCCACGGCTTGACGTCGACGCCACGGCTTGACGTCGACGCCACGACAGCGCGACGCCACTGCAGCGCGTCGAGACGGCCGCGGCAGTACGACGCGGCCGGCGACACGACGATGCCGCCACAGCAGCATGACGCGGCCGCCAAGGTAGCGCGAGAGGGAGAGGAGGAGTGCGCGGCGGAAGCATGCTAAGCAGGTTCAGGAAGAGCAACTTGCTCTGATACCATGTCGAAGTAGCTAGCTAGGAAGGGGAAGCCATGGAATGGCGTAAGGTTTTAGGCTAGTAAGAATATCAAGAGAGACGAGGATGAGATTAGAAGAGAGAGGGATACAAGAAGAGGGGTTGTACCCTCTACAGTAGAGTCCAGTAACACCTACCAAGCCTACCATTATATATATATCAAATATATAATTTAACAGGGAAGAACACTAGCATCTCAATGGATGGTACAGCCAAGGGTGCACTGTTAAATTATATTTTATAGTATATATATATACATATATATAATTGTAGGCTTGGTAGGTGTTATTGAATCCTACTGTAGAGGGGACTGTCAGAACTCAGTCACTAACCACTGAGTTAAAAGGGCGGGTTAGTGCACCCACAACCCCCCAGGCTCTGCACTGCACCTGTGGCCGTTCCCCGAGGATCTTCTCAAGGGCAACCCCAGTGGGCCTCTCGACAAGGACTACCCCCCTTCTTGTATCTCCTTCTTCCACCTCTCTTTTCTCTCGACATTTTCTCCTAGCCTAAACCATCACGCCATTTCCATGGCTTCCCTATCTACCTAGCTCCTTTAACATGCACAAGCCAGTGACCCGACTGTATCCAGAGCTCTCTCAAATTGATCAGAGACTACGAGAGCCCAGCAAAAGGAAGTGGGCTGGTGAGGACACCAGTCCATTTCAGCACCTTGAGGGAACCAGCACTCTCAGGCACGAGTTCCAAAAACTGCTGCTGACCCTCGTCAATTCCGCCCTCATCAAACTTATAGCGGTTGTACTCTTCATAGTCCCCCCTGCCATGTACTCCTGTGCTCGGCTCCTCGTCTCCCACTCTATCATCATCCAGCAGATCACTACGCACATCATTTCACACGAATAGCTCCTCCAGATGGCATGGAACAGGAAGGAAGAGCACTTTCGAATTTCTATGTATGAGATCCAGATACAGCTGCTGCAGTAGTGGAGAGCCGTGGACTTCCAGGCTATTGGCTCTACCCAGGGAGAGCTTGCGGAGGTTCGGAAATTCGAGATTCACGCCAAAACCTTCCTCCTCCATGTCCATCAGCGCCAGATGTTCAAGAGTGTCATGCATGAGCATATCCCCATAAAGATCGCCTCCCAAGGGTCCATCTACCACCAATGACTTCAACGCAGGACATTGGCTCAGAAACCTCTTCACGACGGACGCTTCGGAACCAAAAACATCCTTGAACTTCAGCTCCTTCAGGTGCGTACACGAGGAGTCAAATACCAACTTCCACAATGGGCTAGCGATGCCCAGCGAGCACAGCACTGGAGTGTAGCAGTCCCCAAGGCGTGCAGAGAGCGCACCATCCAGCCACATACGTTCAAGGGGGGGCAGGTGGAGGGTGAACCCTCGCATACTCCTTTATCCAACATGTAAGTTGGACAATCACCGTCAGAACTGCCAAGACCTCTCAGGCTTAGGTCAAGGTGCTGAAGAGGGCATCCATGCAGGGCACCTTCTAGTGCAGATGAGAGGCATGCCAAGCACGGTTCATCTGCTAGTGTCCTAGCTGCTGCTGCTGCTGCTCCTCCTTTTACTGGTAGATCCAGTGGTGGTGCTGGCAGCGGCGGTGCTGGCAGCGGCGGTGCTGCAGCCGGGGAAGGAGGAGAGCTGAAGGGGCGAGGGGCCCCTGCATGCGAGAGATGATGGCGCAGGCGGCAGGGACAGTAGTTCCACGGGGGAAGACGAGCGACGGAACCTGATGCAAGAGGCAGCCTAAAGAGAAAGTCGTGACTATAATTCTTAAAAATTTTACTAAGAACAATCACTTATGACCACACCATCCAGGCAGCCACCCATGTGTAATGACTCAAAAATCGACTCATTACATACGGGTTTTGAGTCGACTCAAAAATATAATCTTGCTCCATCCATGCAGGAAGTGCGCAACGCACACACACTTATGCGATGCCTCGCCAAACTGCTATGCCAGAACCATGAGCAGCCTGCTAGCCGCCATCATATGTCTACCCAGCAGTACCTGGCTTGCAAGCCAATTCCATCGCCTGGAGACACACATGCCATATGCGATGCCTCTAACTTGCTATCATGCCAGGTCCACGAGCCACCTGCTAGCCGCCATCATCTATCTTTCCAGCAGTACCTGGCTTGCGAGCCGATACCATCGCCTGGAGACGCACATGAGCCATGCAACGTCGCCAGCATCTTCGATTCTCTTGAGAAACAGCTCGACCAACGCATCTGGTAAATTGTCGATCGGACATTCCATGCCGGTAACTAGCCTGGAGTCCGAAACCGAGAGAAGATAGAAGGTGGCTGGCTTGTGACAATTCTATCGCCTGATGGTTTCAGCAACAAATCACAGGGCAGACTAGCTGCGAGGACGGATTCCCAGCTCAAGCACCGACACTAAGCTGTCGCGAATAAGCGCAAAAACGAAAATGAAAACGAGAGAGTGTCGTGAAAACGAAAAAATCCTTTCTGGGTACGCAAGAACTTCAGGCTGCGGTGAACACTACCACTGCCCCGGAAAGCGTCGAGTCGCCAGCGAGAGGAAACTGGAATCGATGTCGAGAACTGGGGGATTCACTCACGCGTTCGTCAGCTGCGAGGCACGGCTGCATGACTTTCATCCTTCCATCATTGCTCACGACCTAGGACCAGCCCTCCGTCGCTCTTCCCCTCTCCATCCCGCACCAATGTGGTGCTGCAAGCCGGTTATCAAGAGTCAACACACCCATCAACACACCATAGCCGTGAGTGCCGCAAAAGCCACAACAGAAGCAGCACTATGCGGGTAGCCTGCAAACATGCCCAAGGTCTAGGTGCTTGTGCACTGAGCTATGTGGATATGTTGGTTTGCATAAAATACAGCGTGGTACAGAGCGGTGAAGGGGCGGGCAGCAATTTGGTTGGATCATTTGCACAGCGGTGCAAAAGCAGTATTCTGAAACCATTCTAATTTTGTGCAACGTCAGTAATAGAGAAGAGCGATTCAAAGCAATTTCTTATGTACAAACGTACGTGACAAACACGCTCCAACACCAGGATTAATCAACCCCCACACCGCCAACCCCCACATCGTTTCACGAATTTCCAAACCAACCCACTATCAAATCCCGCAGAAAAGCCTCACCCCACAGGAGAACCCCCCGTACTCGTTTCTTTCCTTCCCACCCCTGCCCATGTAAGCAACCAGCAGCACAGCAGCAAGCCCACCATAGATTTCCCGCAGAGTCACCACCCCTATCTATCACCTCTAGCTGCCTATAACCCTCTTCTCACTGCAACAGTAACACCAAACACCTCCTATTTGGTCCTTACTCCTCCCCACCCCTGCCCACGTCAGCGCCAGCAGCCAGAGCAACATCAGCTGGCACGGCAGCAAACTTCCCAATGATATCCCTCAGAGTCACCACCCCTATCACCTCCTGTTGCCCAGTACTGGCAGCACCAGCAGTGGCCTCAGCACCAGCCGCAGCACCCTCAGCACCAGCAGCAGCACCAGCAGCACCTTCAGCAGTAGCAGCAGGAGCAGCAGCAAGGGGGAGGGGGGAGGTGACGTAGATGCGGTGGATGTGGGTGCGGTTGAGCGCATGGAGCACATTGCGGAGAGGCGTGGAGGGCGAGCAGGTGATGGGGGGCGTCATGACCGGCCAGATCACTTCAGTCGCAGACGTAATTGGCTCGTTGGCTGCGCTGATGAAATCACGCACCGTGAAGGACCTGGGAGATGGGGGATCGGGGGGAGGCAGCGGGGTGAAGCAGGAATGAAATAGAGCAGAGGGGAACGAAATAGAGCAGAGGGGAACGAAATAGAGCAGAGGGGAACGAAATAAAGCAGAGGGGAACGAAATAGAGCAGAGGGGAACGAAATAGAGCAGGGGGGAACGAAATAGAGCAGAGGGGAACGAAATAGAGCAGAGGGGAACGAAATAGAGCAGAGGGGAACGAAATAGAGCAGAGGGGAATGGAGGGGGAGTAGGTGATGAGGGGAGCTATGACCCGCCAGACCACCTCCGTGGTTGAAGTGCTTGGCTCGTTGGCTGCCTTTATGAAATCACGCACCGTGAAGGACCTGGGGCGAAACGGGAGTGAGGAAGGCAGACAGGGTAAAAGAGGGGCATGTGATGGGGGGGTGACTTTTGAGTCGACTCAAAAGTCACCATGATGGGGACGTCATGGTCTGCCGGTAAGGGTGGGTGACCTCGGTTGGTGGGGGCTATGGGATGACTATGGAGTCAGGCACAGAATGCCTTAATTACTGGTACAATACACTTTTTGGCTGACGTTGGCGAAGATGCAGTTGATGCAGTTGGCGCGGTTGGTGCCCTAAGATACCAGCCCTTACCATGCAGATACCGCAGGGTGTTTTTGAGAATTCTCAGGGTATTTTTTAGAATTCTCAAAAACACCCTGCAGATACCTCCCTAACAATCCACCCCTCTCCGCACTCACACTTCCTGCCTGCTCTTGAAGATCTCTGGAGTCCCGACCAAGTGAAGAATGTCCCTCGCGCTGATGTTGGCAATGATGCGATTGCTACCCTTGGCCACCACGGGCACCCCTCCGATGTCATGCTCCATCATCAGGCGGAAGGGCTCTGTCACTGCTGCGTCCTCCTCCACCTTGAACGAGGCGAGCGGGGAAAGATGGAAGGGACTTGGGGAAAATCGAGACAGGTCAGAGACAATGTGGTAGTGGCAACCACCAGCACCCGTCCAATGGCATGCTCCATCATCAGACGAAAGGGGGCTGGCACTCTGCTGCATCCTCCTCCACATGGAAAATAGGGGCGAGGGCAAGGATCGGGCCATTCATCAGAATGACTCGGTGCTCAGAAATGGACCCCAATGGACACTCATAAGAATGACTCGGTGCTCAGAAATGGACCCCAATGGACACTCATAAGAATGACTCGGTGCTCAGAAATGGACCCCAATGGACACTCATAAGAATGACTCGGTGCTCAGAAATGGACCCCAATGGACACTCATAAGAATGACTCGGTGCTCAGAAATGGACCCAATGGACACTCATAAGAATGACTCGGTGCTCAGAAATGGACCCCAATGGACACTCATAAGAATGACTCGGTGCTCAGAAATGGACCCCAATGGACACTCATAAGAATGACTCGGTGCTCAGAAATGGACCCCAATGGACACTCATAAGAATGACTCGGTGCTCAGAAATGGACCCCAATGGACACTCATAAGAATGACTCGGTGCTCAGAAATGGACCCCAATGGACACTCATAAGAATGACTCGGTGCTCAGAAATGGACCCCAATGGACACTCATAAGAATGACTCGGTGCTCAGAAATGGACCCCAATGGACACTCAAACAGGGGCAAGCGGCAAGGGGCGACGGGTGGCCCTGGTCGGCAATGACACCCCACTCACGATCCAACGTCAGACAGTCATGAGCCAGTGATGATTGTTGAGTCGACTCAAAAATCACCATGATCCAACATCAAACAGTCATGAGCCAGCGTGCAGTCGGTGATCGAATTGAACCACGGCATGCCGTCACACTCACACAGGAAGCCAACAGGATGATACCTTCACCGCTCATTACCTTGACCAGCTCTTCTGGCTGCATGAGGGGAAGGCCGAGAGCAGCAAGAGTGCAGCCAGCAATGGAGTTGACCCACAGCATGCCGTCACACTCGCAGAGGAACCCCACCACAAGTTACACTCCCCATGCGTGTTACCTTGACCAACTCTTCAGGCTGCATGAGGGGCAAGCCGAGCTGCGCCAGCGTGCAGTCCGCGATGGAGTTGAACCACGGCATGCCGTCGCACTCGCACAGAAATCCCACCGCTGCCGACTGCGTTATCACCGTCGAAATCGACGACCCAACACCCGGGGGGAGCACAGGCACGGAGCGGATGGCGTACTTGGACATGAGCAGGAAGAGCGTCAGCAGCGTGTCTGACGGCTTGAGGTACACAAAGGGCGACCACCGGAACGACCCAGCTAGATCGGCGACACGAGTGGCATGGAAGGCTTCGTTCTTGAGAAGCTCTTCAAAGAAATAGCAGCCGGTGCGAGGGGAGGAAGCCATGGCTGCTGCTGACTCGCCGGGTGCGCCTTCCCCGGTTGCTGCGTGCCCGCCTAGTGCTGCCATGCCTACAGCTCCGGCGGCTGGCGCGGCTGCTGCGGGTCCGGCCGAGGCTTCGAGGGCGGCTGCCCCGGCTGCTGCGACGAAGGAGCCGACGAGCGAAGCGGCGACGGTGGATGCTGTGGCGAACCCGATAGACGATGCTTCGAGCTGGAGGGGAAAGGGGAATGCAAGGAAGGGGCGGGGGGAGGAGGGAGGAGGGGAGGGGGGAACATTTACAGTGGGAAACAAAGGTGAACGGGGCAAAGAACCAGAACAGCAGCAGCAGCAGCAGCAGCAGGTACTCGCATGAATAAGGGTGAGGTAAGATGATCACTCACATTGGCGAAGACCCAGAGGATGACAGCCCCTGCCAGATCCATCATCCCCAGATACTGCGGCTCCCACTCCTCCTCCTCCTCCTCTTCCGCTTCCTCCATCTCCCCTCCTACCTCCTCCCCAGGCTCCTGCACCACCCCTGTTGGTTCTACTCCCTCTCCTCCTCCCTCTCCTCCTTCCCCCCCTCCTTCCTCTCCTAATTCCTCTGCCTGCTCCGACTCAGTCATTTCCACGTCAGCTGCGCCGCCCCTCCCCCTGCCCCTGCCAGCGGCCTCGGCAGCAATGCTTTTGACAGGGACGGTCGTGAGGTTGTGGCGGGACAGCAGCTTGATGGCGTCGAACAGGGTTGTGTTGGCCGTCACCTCGTGCACTGTGGGGCACAGGGGAGAGGAAAGGGCAGAGGTAAGTGCAGTGCAGAAAGCGGGGGGGGGGAGAGTAAACAGCACGCGCAGAGGGCAGTCAACATGAGGACGGTGGAGAGGTTGTGGCGGGACAGCAGCTTGATGGCGTCGTACAGCGTCGTGTTGGCGTCAACTCGTGCACTGGGGGAAGGAGGGGGGGAGACAGAGGCGAATTTTGAGTCGACGTGAATTTTGATTCGACGTAAATTTTGAGTTTAGGGTTTCGGGTTTAGGGTGGAGAAAGAGCACAACAAGAGGGCAGTCAGCAGCGGGACAATAGTGAAGTTGTGGCGGGAACAGCAGCTTGGTGGTGTCGTACAGGGTCGTATTAGCTGTGACCTGTGACCTCGTGGACTGGGGGAGGGGGGGTCGGAAAGAGCACGAGTAGGGGAAGTGAACAGCAGGAGGACGGTGGTGAGGTTGTGGCGGGACAGCAGCCTGATGGCGTCGTACAGTGTGGTGTTGGCCGTCACCCCGGGCACTGACAGAACGGGGAGGGATGGGGGAAAGGGGGAAGGGGGGGGAGGGGAAGGGGGGGGGAGGCGTGGGGGAGGAAGGGGGGACGAGCCAAAGACAGGCCTAAAGTGGAATGCACCAGAGGTGAGTGGCTTCCTGTTGTGATGAAGTCAGGCGGTACAGAGGGATCTGATTCGGTTGAGAAACGGGTCTCACCAGTTGTGACTTTAGGGAAGAGCGAGATCGGCAGCAGCGCCAGCACTTGGCTCACAGCAACCAGCTTCTTTTCAGTCACATCATCTGCAGTCACCCTCCGCGCCCTCCCCCTCTCCGCCTCCCCCTCCGCGCTTTCCGCCCTTCCCCCTTCCTCCCTTCCCCCTTCCGCCAGTACCCCTTCCGCGCGCTCCCCTCCCCCCCACTTGCCCTCCCGCCGCGCCTGGTGCTGCTCGCGTCCGATCTGCTCCCACCACTCCTCGATCTTCTCCTTGAGACTCGCGGGGGGGCGCTGCCACGTGAATCAGCGCGCGCTGCTGCTCTGCTTCCCCCCTGCCTCCGCCGGTTGCGCCTCCCGCGCGCCCTACTTCCGCGGCCATGCTTCTGCGTTGCGCGGATGAGCTGGGCGGTTGTAGCGCTGCTGACGTGTCAGGCTACGAACAAGCTACGAAGTCAATCGACGAGCTTGCGACGAACCTGGTAACCTAGTAGGAGATCCGACCGTCGTTACTGGCAGTAACACACAGCCTTAGCGAACTCTCGAGAGCTCTCTCAATCGGGTACTAATCGATATCCGGCCGCTATGGATAACTCAGCACAGCAAAGCAAACCTGCTTGACAAGGAAGCATACGACCCACGACGAGTCGATGGCAAGCGGAACGCAAGCCTCTTCTTTTCTTCCTCCACAAATCCGCCTTTTTCCTTCCTTCCTTTCTCTCCCCCGCGAGCAAGAAACCGAGAAGGCGAGACCAAACCAACGAAGCCGGGGCCGCATGCGCGCCACGGTAGAACGCTGAAATCGAGCCGCCAAGGGCCAGCACTTCTTGCACGTGTCGGCCTCCATGACATGTCTGACATGTCATGAGCTGGCGCTGACGTCATGTCACGGGACAGCCAGCGCAACGTCATGTTAGGAGGCATTTCGGATCATTATGCAACCGTTGCATGATTTACGTAAATGATTTATTTCTCATCTGCACCACTGCTGGCAGATTTCGAGCACTGAAAACATGCCCTGGCAATCAGTCATGCACACGTGTCACAGGCATGCACTCTTCTCGAATGTTCCGCGCCGGTCTAAGAAACGGTGCTCATGAGCTGGTTCCAAGACGCGAGTCGCGACGCGAGTTAGGAATCTCGCTCTTTGAATGCAACAACGCCGTGTCAGATGCCTGCCACGTTATTTGTCAGACATTTGACCAATTGTCTGCGTTGTAGTGTAACCCGATTCTCGAGTGTAAATTGGACGTCCTAATCTAACCCCAGCAGGGTGGAAATATTAAAATCTCGTACATGCATCTCACATCAATTCATGGGTGGTGGACACAAAAAATCTCTCATGTGGCTGCAAGGGTGAATCCTTTTCTAGTGTATGCAATCAGCACATTGCACCTATGATGGTGTATCTACATTTCCTGCACAGTACACACCAGGAGAAAAACTAATGTGGCAACAACCACCTCAGCAGGAGCTGCCTAAATCCTTCACTCAACAGCAGCCATTCTGGAGTAAACCCCCAACCCTTCTCATGATGCAAAACTAGTTAAGCGGTGTACATGTTACCCCGAAACTTGTAACATAAGGCGAACATGTTACGCGGAGAATTCATCATCATTGTTGAGCATTGGCTGCCGCGCCACCTGCTGGTCGTTCTGGCTGTCAAGAGGCATGTACTGCGCCATGATCGCCCGGATCTCCGAGTCCATGTATGACTGGTGGGGGGAGACGGGCAAAGGGGGGTGGGGGAGGAACGCACGGTGGGGAATTGAAGGAGGGGAATGCAGAGGGCTCGTCTCTTCCACCTGTCGAGAGGCATGTACTGCGCCATGATCGCCCGGATCTCCGAGTCCATGTATGAGTGGGGGGTGGTTGCGCGGAACAGAGGGAATGGGAAGGAGAGGATTAGAAGGGAAGGAGACGAATACACCCATCAGCTCCACCTGTCCAGACGCATGTACCCTGCCATGATGGCGCGGGTCTCAGAATCCATGTAGGTCTGGGAAAGGGGGGAGGGGCGAGAGGGACGGACATAGTGGGGGAGGGAGGGGCGAAGTGCATAAGCCCTGTATTTGCACTGATGGGAGAGTGTGTGGCCATGCTGCAGGGCGTGGGGGTATGTTGTACTCTGGGTGTTGGTATGCTGTCATCCTGTGTGCGGTGCAGGAACAGCACAGGACAGCCCAGCACAGTCAACAGAAGCTCAACAGCAAAATCCACTCACCCTGAGCCGGTACTTGTACACAATATAAGCCACGATCGCTACAACGGCGAGTAAGCCCTGAGACGTCTCAAAAACGGCACTCCACTCACCCTGAGCCGGTACTTGTACACAATATTAGCCACGATCGCTGCAACGGCGAGTAAGCCCTGAGACATCTCAAACAAGACAAGCCACTCACCCTGAGCCGGTACTTGTACACGATATAAGCCACGATCGCTACAACAATGAGTGAGCCCATGACAATGCCGGCCACCATGCCCCACAGGCGCGTAGGGGGCGTGCCACCCTCCTTGCCTGAAGGAGGAGCAGAACAAGAAAGGGGGGAGGGGTGGTGGGGAAAGGAGAGACACGAAAAAGGAGCAAGCAGAGAAGTTGAGCGGGTATGGGTGATTGAAGCCCTGTCACCATTCCACATAGGTAGTCGCTAAGGGGGCGTGCCACCCAGTTGTATTTTGAGTCGACTCAAAATACAACCATTCCCCATAGTCGGTGAGGGGGCGTGCCACCCTCCCTTCTTGCACACTGAGCCATGCTCACTGCGCCCTGAGCCATGCTCACTGCGCCCGTGAGACACAACTAGGTGAATCAGAGCAATCACTGATGCATGTGAGTCACCATGTCCCGTGGGATACACGGATCCATTGTCGCCGGAGCAAATAACATTCACATAGGAATAACCCAAACGTTCAATGCACCCCAAACGAACGTTCAATGCACCCCAAACGTTCAATGCACCCCAAACGTTCAACACACCCCAAACGTTCAACGCACCACGTTCACAAAGCAACCCAGCAAAACACTCACTGATGCACGTGTGAGTCTTTCAAGTGCACCAGCCCGTTGTAGCAGGAGCACTCGTACAACCCAAACGTGTTCTTACAGTGGCAGTTGACACACCTTATATTCACATAGCAACCCAGCAAAGCACTCACTGATGCACGTGTCTGAGTCCTTGAGATACACCAGCCCGTTGTAGCAGGAGCACTCGTACGACCCGAACGTGTTCTTGCAGTGGCAGTCCACGCAGCTGCACGCGCTGTGCTCCGAGCACTCGTCGATGTCCTCACACTTGAACCCATCGCCCCTGAAGCCCGGGGGGCACTGGCATTGAGTCGACGAGCTGTCCTGCTAGGGGAAGAGGTGTGGGAGGGGTTTGAAAATGGCAGGTGGTGGTGAGAGGGAAGTGAAGGGAGTGCTGTGCGCCAAGCCCCTGTCGATGTCCTCGCACTTGAATCCGTCGCCCCTGAAGCCAGGCCGGCACTGGCATTGAGCCGATGAGCTGTCCTGCTAGGTTTAAATGGGGGATGGAGGCGAGGGAAGAGGAGGGGTGGGGGGGGTGGTGAAGGGAGGTGGAAGTGCGGACGGGTGCTGTGCTCCGCACACTGGTATTTGTCTTCACACGTGAAGAGGGAGGGCAGTCGAGGAGGAGTGGGGGGGGGGAGGGAAGGAGGGAAGGGGAAGGGGAAGGAGGGGGGAAGGGGATGGAGGGGGGAAGGGGGGGAAGGGTGGGGGAGGGGAGAAGACCAGTCTGGCGAGGGCAGAGCAACAGTGTGATGGAACGTCAAAGCGTAGGGTTGTGAAGGTTCGGCCTGTACCTGGCAGGCAGTGAAGGTTTGGCCGTCGCCAGCTCCCTGCCAGCAGCCCCCGTTGTTCACGAGGCAGCGACCCACCCCCGTGGCTGTATGAGATGAACACCATGGGGGGGCGAGACCACATGAATGGGGGGGCACAGAGGGGGGGGGGGGGGGGGGGGGGGGGGGGGGGGGGGGGGGGGGGGGGGGGGGGGGGGGGGGGGGGGGGGGGGGGGGGGGGGGGGGGGGGGGGGGGGGGGGGGGGGGGGGGGGGGGGGGGGGGGGGGGGGGGGGGGGGAGATTAAAGAAGAGGTTCCTGCGAGCAGCGTGTGAGAGCACGTGGAGAGTGTATACACAATCACACTTGGTGTGATGATGACCATTCCACACCATAACAGGTACACCCCATACCATAACAGCTACACCCCATACCATAACAGGTACACCCCATACCATAACAGGTACACCCCATACCATAACAGGTACACCCCATAACATAACAGGTACACCCCATAAATTAACAGGTACACCCCATACAGCCCCGACAGAATCCGTGCAATGCACCCACGTTCGCACTCGGTGTAGCCAACCCCCGACAGGTACACATGACTACTCCGAGCCGTTAGGGACAATTAATGCTCACACAATAAATCGAGCTCACACAATAAATCGAGCTCACACTCTGCAGCCCCTGAACCCCACTCACGTTCGCACTTGGTGTAGCCATCCCCCGACAGGTACACTCTAATATAATGCGGGCCGTCTAAAGTCACTCACGTTCGCACTTGGTGTAGCCGTCCCCCGACAGGTACACTCTATTACAATGCGGGCCGTCTAAAGTCACTCACGTTCGCACTTGGTGTAGCCGTCCCCCGACAGGTACACTCTATTACAATGCGGGCCGTCTAAAGTCACTCACGTTCGCACTTGGTGTAGCCGTCCCCTGACAGGTACACGCCAGTCTGGGGGTCCTTGGGGCACTCACACACCCGCCCTCGAAACGTGTCCTGGTGGGATGGAGGGCGAGAGGCGGGTAGGGGAAAGAGGAGTTGCTGTGAGGTTCCTGCTGAGCAGTGTCTTGGTGTTCACGGCATGACCCCTTCCCAGATGACTTTTGAGTCGACTCAAAAGGCAGTGTCTTGGTGTTCACGGCATGTCCCCCTTCCAGATTCCATTACCTTGCACGTGGGAAGGCTTCAAAGGATACCTTCAAGTCTTATTTTTAGAGCGGAAAAGCGCTATAGGCACTGTTCTGCCCTGTACAGTACCTTGCATGCAGTCAGGTTGTAGCCCTTCCAGCAGCCACCGTTATTCGCCAAGCACTCGTTCGTCTGCACATCTGCACAGACAACGGTATAAACAACGGAAACGGATGGTGACGGGGGGAAGGGGGGAGGAGGTTGGGGGGGGGGGGGGGGTGGGGGGTGTTGACGAAGATGGTGAAGTATCGGTGCCCACATGTACCACTATACTGGAGTCTGGACAACATCTTATTTTAAAAAAAAGGAGCAGAAGACGGTCGTAGGCATCTGCAAAACTGTGATTGTTTTGTCTTTTCTATCAGCTCCAAGATCGACCACTACAGAAGACGTTATCCTGCATCCCCAAGAAGCATCCCAAACCTTATGTTGGCATCCCCTACCTGCTCCAAGGCACACAGGAGGGTCAGTGGTTTCCTTGAAGCCCGAGATGACTTATGAGTTGATTCAAAAGACATCCCAAACCATATGTTGGCATCCCCCCCTACCTGCTCCAAGGCACACAGGAGGGTCGGTGGTTTCCTTAAAGCCCGAGCAAACAGCCTTGAGCACGGCCTTAGAGTCCAGCTTGCCTGAGGGGGAGTGAGGTAGAGTAGAGAGGAGTAGAAACGGTACAGATGGATTAGATGGGATAAGTGTGGAAGTGCAGAGGGTAGTGGTGCAAGATTGCAGAACGCGAGATGAGGGGAAAAAAAAGAGCCAAAATTAGGGATGGATACACACAACGAAATCCACGAGCCGTCCTTCTCCCCCTCCTCCTCCTCCTCCTCCTCCTCCTCCCCCTCCCCCTGTAAAATCCTTTTCCCCCTCATTGGTTTCTCCCTAATCCCACCATCTTCCCTCTCCGCTTCCCACCATTTCCCCCTCTTTCGACACTGTGTTATCGATAGGGTTTCCGGTGACTCCCCCGGGGTAACCCAACTGCATCTGCCCATTCTCCTCTCTCCTCCCCCTCCCCCCCCCCCACCCACCTCAGTACTGCTTGTTGTTGATAAAAAACGCCAGCACTTGCACATCGTCTCCCTCCGCGGGCAAAATGGTGACGTCACCATGCTCTCCTGTTCCAGCCTGTAATATGCCCCCTCCTCCCCCCCCCTCTCTCGCATTCTGCCTCCCGCTCCCCTTCCCTCCCTCCCCCCCCCCCCCCCCCCTCCCTCTCACCTCGGTACTGTTTTTGGTTGATGATCACAGTGGGCAGAATGGTGACGTCACCACGGTCGCCCGTCCCAATCTGCTCAGACCAATCCAAGATATCCATTATCCACCACGCAACCACGCCAGGAACAGGTCATCAGAGGCGGCAGTTTCAGGGTCAGCTCAAAACTAGACTAGCACCTTACGTCTCCCCTTCTCCCACCACCATGAATCCCTTTCTGCCACACCTGGGCCTCAGCTTCGCCTTCAGCAGGGGGCTGTCCTCGTCCTCGGTTAGATGGTAATTCCCTCGAATAAAAACTATGTCAACACCTTAACCCCACCCCCCCACCCCCCCCCCACCCCCTCGTTGTCTCACCTGCGCCTCCTGCTCCGCCTTGAGCACGGGGTTGTCCTCATCCTTGGTGGGATGTCGACCCTACCTTAACATGCTAACGCGTCACACACCCTCTCCCCCCCCCCCACACACACTCCCCCCTCTTCTCTCACCTGCGCCTCCTGCTCCGCCTTCAGCACCGGGTTGTCCTCGTCCTTAGATATCTCATGCAGTCGACTCGATATTGCAATAACACCATAATACGTCAGTCCCCCTCCCGATCCCCGTCCCAGCCCAACCCCCTCGTCGTCTCACCTGCGCCTCCTGCTCCGACTTGAGCACGGGGTTGTCCTCGTCCTTGGTGGGGTCGCCCATGCAGTCGCGCACCTTCTTCACGTCGATGCCTGCGCAGGGGGACGGGGACAGGGGACGGGGACAGGGGACGGGGAGCGGGGACGCGGACAGGGGACGGGGAGCGGTGGAAATCATTCCTCACAACGAGACGTTTTCTAGTCTCGCCCATGCAGTCGCGCACCTTCTTGACGTCGATGCCTGCACACAGTGGGAGACGCCCATCACACGGTCGTAGACAGGCATAAAACAACGGAACACAAGGATAGCACAGCCCAGCCATGAGGCCCCACGTTGCTCCGTGTTCTGTGTTCTGTGTTCTGTGTTCTGTCCTCTCGTTCCTATCGCCATAGCGAACGAGGGATACAAAGGTTGACACCTCTAGGAAATACTCGAAGCGCCTTACAAACGCTACGGGACCTAGGTTTAAGGACGCACGCAACGGAGGCAATAGACAAGCCAGAACAGACACGGAAACGAAACACGCACATGTACGGACAGCAAATTCGAGCGTACGCACGCACGGACGTCTCCAGGCGCGGGAATGCGCTCTTCCGTGGAATCCGTCAGATTAAACGCGTTTGAAGCCGTCTCAAATCGTTGACAGTAGGCCGAACCCAAATGCATGTACTCACATACCAAGCGATAATGCTCTCCGTGCACTCCGGATTTCACACGCGGCACCGTTGTAAGAACGGATGCCGGCATACAAGTCCACGCATGGACAAACGGGACGCACACACGGACACATACCTAGCGCCATGCTGATTCTCTCCGCGCACTCCAAATCTTCCACGCGGCACCGTTTCTTGTATCGAAAGATGCAGGGATAAAAGTGCACGCACGGACATAACGGCAAAGATTGCGCGCGGGGAGACATACCTAGCGCAGTGATGATGCTCTCGGCGCACTCCGGCCCGTACGTCTTGTCCGCCATGCGGCAGCGCCTCTTGAAGTCGGTCACATAGTCCCACCACAGCCACGACCCGTGCGTCTCGTTCGCCACGCGGTGCACGCACAGCTGCCGCAGGTTCTCCGCCACCACGTCCTTCCCGTCGTACCCCACGTCGAAGTCCTCCTCCGGGTCCGGCGCGCAGTACCGCCCGTTGTTGATACACTGCGTCTTGCACTGCCGGCTCTCGAGGTACGCCTCGGGGCAGTACCACGTGATGTAGTGCGGCGTGAACAGCGTGTACCCGCCCTGCTCTAACATTATCGCGTAGCCCTTAAACGCGTCCAAAAACTCCGCCTGAGAGTCGCATTTCGGCCCGCACTCGTCGTTGCTGTTGGTCCAGAACTCGTACTCCACGCGCTCGTCGGGGTGCGGCAGCGCTTCCCGCCAGTCCAGCGACACCATAACCACGTCCTTCTTAAGTCCCTTCTTAATCAAATCTGCGGTGGACTTCTGGATAAGAGCCGACGGAATCGTGATTTTCTCGACGATGCGAGCCGCGTCGGGGTCGTCCTCGGGAGTGTCCATGGTGAGGAGATTCTCGTCCTTGTCGTCCGCGACAATCACGGCGGACGCTCCCGCCTCCTGCGCGTTAAAAACCTTGTCCGTGAAGTAGCAGCCTGATGTCGGGGCATGGGGAGCAAATCGGGTGTGAACATTGACCTTATGTCCTCGGGCTTGTCCATGGTGAGGAGGTTCTCGCCCTTGTCATCCGTGACGATCACGGCGGCGGGCGCACCGGTTTCCTGCGCGTGTTGTTCCTTGTCGGTGAAGTAGCAGTCTGGCTTATGAAGGGGGGAAATTGGAGATGAAAAAAAAACTGCTGAACTGTCGAGGAAAAATAGAAAAGTAGTTTACACAGGACGGATTTACGAAATACGATCTCTAAATCTCTGGACGAGTTATCAGCAAGCAAAATTCGATTATTCTCTCAAGCCAGCATCAGGAAGAAAGCGAAAATTATGGAACGAGTCCCCTAAACGAGACCACAACGAACAAATTATGGATATGATGAATCAGCCTCTAAGCGTCGAAGATAGCGTGCCTACTTCTATCAATACGACCACATACCCCCGCGGTCAACCAGAACAATATTCGGCATGCCGCCGGCCTTGGTCGCGAGGTCCTTGCCCTTGTACGGCTTGCACAGGTCGGACGAGCGCGACGGGTACACCACCGTGCCCTGCAGCGAGCCGCCGTACTGCGGGATGCCGAAATTCGCGATGGCGCTCAGGTACTCGCCACGGATCTTATCCGGCGAGTTAATCATCAGGCTATGCGACTCGACGACGAAGCGAGCCGATGCGCTCTGGACACACCAAGCGACGACGCATAACGCTAGATATAACGCGTGACGACCCATGGTGACGTGGGGTAATTCCCGTAAGGCGTGCAAAGGCCGGAACTGCCAACTCTTGCTATGCAAGAACCGCCTGATGAAGCTAGCTGCACAGAGTCGAACGCACGAATAAGCGAAACCCTACCAGCTCAAGTCGAACTGGTTTGCAGAATTCGGTCTCCTGCTACTACCTCGGACTGCCCTCAGCTGTGCTATGCTGGCTAGCAACAGAACAGTTCCCTGACACGCGGGAGAAGTAGGAAAGTGAATCTGACGGAGGGGAGGTTATTTATGCCCTGTGGTGTTGTCTCTGGCAACCATCTGGAAAGCCTGAAGAGCCTCCTAAGGAGTGCTGGCTTGTTGGTGGCTTGATAAAGAAAACCGCAATGCACTCTTTTGTGACTCGCTCAACCCTGTCAAGCTTAGACAGGACCGAATTGAGCCGCACGGAACCAGCAAAAGCCAACCAAACTTGGACACTTCACCTCACCTCGCTCCCTGCTCCTCTGGTTGACGGAAGTGGGGTGGAGCACACAGGCGACCACAGGGAACTCCTCGGCGACGACGAACGGACTTGAAAACGTCGCCAACGACTGTCGCGAATCGCTGAGATGCATCCAGGCAGTGCGGCGAACGACTTTGGTCGCACAAGCCTTCGTCAGCTGCAGAAATCCCAAAAATCGAGGGAAATGGAGTTCAGGTTGTCCAACTTTCCCGCCTTGGAGTGAGTGATGTCAATCAACAAGTCCCGACCTGACATGTGGCTGCCGACAAATGGCTCGAGGAGTTGAAGCTTGCACGAAAATGTGGCGGGCAGGACCAGGCCTGGCTTGGCTTGGAAATAGAATTGCCTTGCCATATGCTGGATGTAGATCGCTTTACAATACAGTGATTAGAAGTGGTAACAGCGAGGCTCCCATAAAGAAGAGCTGTCAGACAACCCTTGACTGGAGATGCAGCACCCCTTCTTCAGTTTGAGCTCAAGGCTGGCGAGGAGGAGTAACCTGACGTCGCCTTCGCGACCTCCTCGTAAAAAACAGATCCCCAGGCGCCCAGCTGAATCCATTCCCATCCCAATCCATTCGAGTCCTCGAGCAAACACACGGGCAGCATGCATGGTGTGAGTGCCATGCCATGGCGGCTAGGTGGGAGTTGCGTGATCCAAGCAAGCAAGCACGACACGTCAAAGCGCGTTGCTTCACTAAGCCAACACGGCGCCTGCCTGCACGCAGACCCTGGACATGGCTTCAAGCTGCGCTGCCGGTTCCAGGAAGAATGGTGGCGGATTTTTCCGATTTCGTGACAGTTACAGCCAGTCAGGCGTGTTAGGAATCTTCAGCATCTGAAGGATCTTTTGAAAGTCGAATTCAACAAACGAGGCTTTTCTTTCGTCGAAGCTGAACTCTCATGCTTGTTTAGCGCAATTTATCACTTCACTTCCTACCTATAGCAGCAGGTTATCGTCGAAGGGGGATGATGCTGTCTACAAACCGCCTCGCGTTTCCGGTTCTGCAGCGAAGTCGTAAGGTGGGTTAGGTTTCAGAGCGATACTCAAGCTGCAGACGCTTCTTGTATGATCGCACGGAGCATTGGTGCTAAGTACCATTCGGCAGTTGCAGTTTTTAAGACGTCTCTGTTGGCTCAGCATGATCCCACTTGCGCAGACGCTTGTGGCACTTGTTAGTATTTTATACTCTTTCTTTTTTTGCCTATATAACTATTTTGCACAGGTGATTTTGGGGAGTCGATTTTATGGAGTTGGAATTGGGGAGACAACTGATGCAGGTACAGAGGGATCTTTTTCTGTCATCACCTCCCCTCCTCGCCCTCCCGTGCTTCCCCCCCTCCTTCGCTCGCTCTCCCGTTCACTAATAAGTCGTGCTGTCAATACCCTTTAATTGCTCCTCGTCACATTTCCATCGCCCTTTACCTCCCCCAGGTCACCCTAAGTACCCCAACATGACGCCCAATGAGGATCGCTCTCCAGCCACCACTGACGACCTGACACGTGCAGCAGCTGAGGCGGCATTCCCAACGCCAGGAGCCAGCCCTACAAGCCTGATGGAGGGGAGGGGGGAGAAGGAGCAGAAGCACTCCACACACCTGAGGGCAAAGGGGTTTGTAGTGACAGAGCTGGAAGCGGGAGTGAGAGACGCTGAGGAGAAGCTGAAGAGGAGGAGTGGATCTGGATTAGGGAGCCGGCAGACAATCACTAGTGACACGACTGCTGGGAATTAGCTTGTCGTCCGTTCCTGGCCAGTCTTGGCGGAATCTGGACCCGACCAGCCTGGTGGAGGAGAGGGGTGAGAAGGAGCAGAAGCACTCTAGACACCTGAGGGCGAAGGGGTTTGCGGTGACAGAGCTGGAAGCGGGAGTGAGCAACGCTGAGGAGAAGCTGAAGAGGAGGCCTGGCGCTGGGTTAGGGAGCCGGCAGACAATCATGAGTGACACGACTGCTGGATTGCCTGTTTGTCTTGCCTTTCTTGGGAATGTCCCCTACTGCCGGAGTTGCTGTTTCCAGATGCACTCCTAACGCAGGTTCAAGGCACTGAGGCGATGGGAAGTGTTGTATGCTTATGTGACGGTAGTCTGTGTATAATCTTGTTCCAGAATTCATAAGCAGATGCTTTGTGGTACAGTTATCCGCATGACAAAAAAGTGGAACACTTGTTACTTCGTTTTGTAACTGGCAGGCTTATCTGTGGAACTTGCAAGAGTGGATACAATATTGGAAGAGTAGTTCCCATAATATTGTAGCTACAGTAAACCCAAAATAGACTGTACATGTCCCCAAACATTTTGCTCAATTAGCCAAGACGTAAGCAGATAGTACACCCAGACCTCTTAGTGCCAGCTCAGGTGGCTCCCACTTGTCTTCGCCACGTGTCCTCAATGATCAACTCATCCACCCCCCAATCCTCGTAGCTGAAACGCAGGCACGGGAGAGGAAAACCGATGAAGCAGGCAAGCTATGATGAATGAAACTGATGGTGAGAGCAACCAAAATGGAACGAGATGGCGTAGCCATGCCTACAGCCCATATGAGCACATCAGTGATGGTGATGACACACTCGGCAAGTCGGCCTACATCCATACACATCTACACACTCAGTAACGTCGACCTCTTTTCCACCGGAACCACACACACCTTCCATCAGGCAGGTATCTCTGAATGGTCAAAATATTTTTTTTCCTCTCGAAGTTCACCTTATCATGCGTGTACAGCACCCCCCTTTCCCCGGATCCCCTCTCACCTTCCATCAGGCAGGTATCTCCGAATGGTGAAAGGAATCTTCTTCTCTCGAAGCTCACGCATGGCAATCTGCAGGGGCCGGGACGATCGGGGTGAGGGAGACACAAGAGGCCTGTATGGATGGACCGGCGCTATGTTCCCTTTGAAGCAGACGTTAGCATGACGCACTCTGAAAGCACTCACTGAATCAGATGTTAGCATTCGAATACTGTGATTGCGGATTGTGATCAGTGCGGTGCGAGCAGCAGGCGTTGTGAGTGGTGCGGGTTGTGTTGGCGGCGCCGTCAGGGGTGATTGTGGCATGGCACGGGTAGGTGACGATTGCAAAGGCTGGAAAAGGCATGTCACCCAAACAGCACAATAACTGCTCGCAACCACTATTGATGTGGGAAATAAGCATACCTCGAGAGGGTCTGTTTCTCCATGCAGCTCAACCATCACAGGCGCATTCATGCTGACACGAGGGGGACGAAGGGCAGGGGGGACGAAGGGCAGGTGGGGGGGGGATTGGGAGTGACATGTAACGCCAGCAGCATTATTGATGCGAGCAGTAAGGCCCACCTCGAGAGGGTCCGTCTCTCCATGCAGCTCGACCATCACAGGCGCGTTCATGCTGACACGAGAGGGACGGGGGAAACGGAGAAAGGAAACAGAGAGGGAAGGGAGGTGGAAAGGGGGGGTTGCAAGAGATGAACAGAAAAATGCCAAGTGCCCAAATGGAACCAAATGCCCCACATGGGGCTGCAGCAGGGAAAATCACGCGAGACCAAAGTAAAGCACCAGATTGAAGCATTGCCTAAACAAGGTGAAAACAAGATGAAAAACGCCCCCCCTCCCCCCCTCCCCCCCCCCTCCCCGACCCAACCCCTCAGTTGATTTTTTGCAAAAAGACTGAGACCTAATTTGAGACGTCAAATTTGACCATCACCCATCGAATTTGCAGATCCCTCGCTCGCCCTTCCCCTCCGCAACGCTCGTGCAAGTGACAGACACAAACTAATGGCTCTCACCTGATTTGCAAGGCTCGAGCCCCCAGCACCCCGGCTCTCTCGTATTTCGTCATGTATCTTGTCGTCTTCCTTGGCTTATCTGGCTTCCTTGGCTTATCTGGCCTCCTTGGCTTATCTGGCTTCCTTGGCTTATCCGACTGAACCCGCAGGCACTCACCTGATTTGCAGCGCCCTGGCAGGCACCCAGCACCCTGGCTCGCTCGTACTTCGACTTCTTCCCCCCTCATGTATCGGGTCCTCTTCCTTGGCTTATCAGACTTCTTCCCCCCGCTCCCCCCTCTCTCCGTTGCCCGTGCACAACAACAGAGACCGGAACCATCAAGCCCTCACCTGATCTGGAGCGCCCTGGCACCCAGCACTCTAGCTCGCTCGTATTTTGTCATGTATCTTGTCGTCTTCCTTGGCTTATCCGACTTCTTCCCCCCTCCCGCTCCGTCGTCGTCCCGGATCTCGATCATGTCGCGATCCGCCTCCCCCTCCTGCTCCTCCGCCCCTTCCTCCCCAGCCTCCTCCTGAGAATCATTAGTGGGGAAAACACAAGGTCCGGAGAGTATTAAGCGCGTAAGGGCCATGAGCGCGTAAGATAATGTCCGGGCCGGGCCCTCCTGCTCTCAGCCTCCTCCTGAGAGTAATTCGGAGGTGGTTAGACAAGGTGAGTAATCTAGGTGGTTATTCGGAGGGTCGTTGCTAGGCGGGGTAAACTTGCACAACGTGAGCATAATCAGAACGGCGCGGACGACGGCAGGAGGGAGCGGGAAACCGCATGTGGCGAACGGGAGGAGAAAAAGGATGGCATCGGGAGGCTGCGTACCTCTTGAGTCGACTCAAAGTGACCTCGTTACAACGCCACACAAGAGGGAACGGGAAACTAGTACACGTGCCGAACGAGACGAACGGGACGAACGAGACGAACGGGACGAACGGGACGAACGGGACGAGGGAAAGGATGCCATCGGGAGGTTTTGAAATAGCGAGTGAAGAACGGATAACAAGAGAACCGCTGCGTACCTCCGGTTCGGCCACCTCGGGCTCCTCATAGTCCCTGCCACGTCACAACAGGCCAGGCCACGTCAGCAGGCAAAGGGAAACGAGGGTCTGGCCAAAGGAGGAACCAAATGAACCTCCAGCTATCCCTAGACCAAACGAAGGGATGAAAGGCTTGCCCTTTGGCCAAATGCGCAAACCCTAGACGTTCACAGAGGAGCTACACCGAAGGTGATTTGGAATCGTAGATGGAATACAGGTGGGGTGAGTCAACTCAAAAATCACGGAGGACCCTGCAATTGCGCAAACCCTAGACCTTCACAGAGGAGCTAAACCCTCAAGAAACTGTCCATTCGCGAAAGACGAAGAATCTACTCTAGTATTCTGGACCTACCCTCCGTAATCCTCGCCGAAATCATCGCCACCGCCATAGTCCTCGTCCGCCATGAGCGCGTGTCAGAAGAGAAGTCGTCTAACGTGAGACGATAAGGTCAGAGAGCACACGTCTGTCGAGTATGCCACGTCCTTCTAAGTCGCCCCTGGCTCGGGAGTGTCGGCCTATCAGGTCACTCTGATTGGTTCGTTCCTGAATACTCGCGAGCCGTGGACAGGTCGGAGGTGGAATGCATGACAGTGAGCTTCAAGAAAGCGCAGATGGTAGTTAAACTATTTGATATAATTTTAAATTTCCATTCCAATCCGTCGGCCTATTAGCTCAGCTGGTTAGAGCGTCGTGCTAATAACGCGAAGGTCACAGGTTCGAGACCTGTATGGGCCATACCAATTTTATCCATATCCTCCATGTCCTTAGTAAACTTCTATCATTTTGACAATAGACACTATGACATGGGTACTTTTGCCCCCCCAAAGATTCTACCTTCTGCTGCCCCAGTCCCACCACCTCATGTGCACGATGTCCTAGAACCAAGTCGCCCACACAGAGTCCCACCATCCACCATCCACCATCCACCATCCACCATCCACCATCCACCATCCACCATCCACCATCCACCATCCACCATCCACCATCCACCATCCACCATCCACCATCCACCATCCACCATCCACCATCCACCATCCACCATCCACCATCCACCATCCACCATCCACCATCCACCATCCACCATCCACCATCCACCATCCACCATCCACCATCCACCATCCACCATCCACCATCCACCATCCACCATCCACCATCCACCATCCACCATCCACCATCCACCATCCACCATCCACCATCCACCATCCACCATCCACCATCCACCATCCACCATCCACCATCCACCATCCACCATCCACCATCCACCATCCACCATCCACCATCCACCATCCACCATCCACCATCCACCATCCACCATCCACCATCCACCATCCACCATCCACCATCCACCATCCACCATCCACCATCCACCATCCACCATCCACCATCCACCATCCACCATCCACCATCCACCATCCACCATCCACCATCCACCATCCACCATCCACCATCCACCATCCACCATCCACCATCCACCATCCACCATCCACCATCCACCATCCACCATCCACCATCCACCATCCACCATCCACCATCCACCATCCACCATCCACCATCCACCATCCACCATCCACCATCCACCATCCACCATCCACCATCCACCATCCACCATCCACCATCCACCATCCACCATCCACCATCCACCATCCACCATCCACCATCCACCATCCACCATCCACCATCCACCATCCACCATCCACCATCCACCATCCTCCATGTCCTTAGTAAACTTCTGTCATTTTGACAATAGACACCATGTCCTTAGTAAACTCCATGACATGGGTGCTTTTGCCCCCCCAAAGATTCTACCTTCTGCTGCCCCAGTCCCACCACCTCATGTGCACGATGTCCTAGAACCAAGTCGCCCACACAGAGTCCCACCATCCACTTTCCACCATCCACATCCTCCATGTCCTTAGTAAACTTCTGTCATTTTGACAATAGACACTATGACATGGGTACTTTTGCCCCCCCAAAGATTCTACCTTCTGCTGCCCCAGTCCCACCACCTCATGTGCACGATGTCCTAGAACCAAGTCGCCCACACAGAGTCCCACCATCCACCATCCACCATCCACCATCCTCCATGTCCTTAGTAAACTTATGTCATTTTGACAATAGACACCATGTCCTTAGTAAACTCCATGACATGGGTGCTTTTGCCCCCCCAAAGATTCTACCTTCTGCTGCCCCAGTCCCACCACCTCATGTGCACGATGTCCTAGAACCAAGTCGCCCACACAGAGTCCCACCATCCACCATCCACCATCCACATCCTCCATGTCCTTAGTAAACTTCTGTCATTTTGACAATAGACACTATGATATGGGTACTTTTTCCCGCCCAAAGATTCTACCTTCTGCTGCCCCAGTCCCACCACCTCATGTGCACGATGTCCTAGAACCAAGTCGCCCACACAGAGTCCCACCATCCACCATCCACCATCCACCATCCACCATCCACCATCCACCATCCACCATCCACCATCCACCATCCACCATCCACCATCCACCATCCACCATCCACCATCCACCATCCAGGGGGGGGGGGAGGGAGGGGCGTCCGTATGGAAAACACCATCCGGCTTCCCTTGAAAGCTCCTTCCAATACTTGGTACTAGGTGCGTAGAAGAACATGTGTGAGGGCGAGAGGTGGAAAATGGGGAGCGAGAAGGACGGCCGGATGAGAAGGACGGCCGGATGAGAAGGACGGCCGGATGAGAAGGACGGCCGGATGAGAAGGACGGCCGTATGAGAAGGACGGCCGGATGAGAAGGACGGCCGGATGAGAAGGACGGCCGGATGAGAAGGACGGCCGGATGAGAAGGACGGCCGGATGAGAAGGACGGCCGGATGAGAAGGACGGCCGGATGAGAAGGACGGCCGGATGAGAAGGACCGCCGGATGAGAAGGACGGCCGGATGAGAAGGGCAGCCGGATGAGAAGGACAGCCAGATGAGAAGGGCAACCAGATGAAAAGGACAAGGCATAGCGTGTAAGTGGTTGTGTGACAGCACCACAGGAGCATGAATAACTGGTGCATACATGGCCTGTAATGCAGCAGAATAGAGCGCATGGGCTCCTGCAGCAGAGCCTTAAATCCCTCTACGGTATGGTAGCACTCACTCGCGTCCCATGTCCGTGCCTCCTTCACTAGAGGCTGTGCCTGGTTGGGATGGGAGGGATGTTGCGGGGAGAAGAAAGTCAAGGAGTAAATGAGATACGGAAGTTGGGCCTGAGATGATTCATGTAAGGAAGAAGTGGAATGAGGACGAAGGGGCGAGAAGACAAGAGGGTGAGAGGACGGGGGAGTGAGAGGACGAGAAGGTGAGAGGACGAGAAGGTGAGAGGACGAGAAGGTGAGAGGACGAGAAGGTGAGAGGACGAGAAGGTGAGAGGACGAGAAGGTGAGAGGACGAGAAGGTGAGAGGACGAGAAGGTGAGAGGACGAGAAGGTGAGAGGACGAGAAGGTGAGAGGACGAGAAGGTGAGAGGACGAGAAGGTGAGAGGACGAGAAGGTGAGAGGACGAGAAGGTGAGAGGACGAGAAGGTGAGAGGACGAGAAGGTGAGAGGACGAGAAGGTGAGAGGACGAGAAGGTGAGAGGACGAGAAGGTGAGAGGAAGAGAAGGTGAGAGGAAGAGAAGGTGAGAGACGAGAAGGTGAGAGGACGAGAAGGTGAGAGGACGAGAAGGTGAGAGGACGAGAAGGTGAGAGGACGAGAAGGTGAGAGGACGAGAAGGTGAGAGGACAAGAGGGGGTAGTTCGACGCTGAAAGAAGGGTAACGGAAAAACGTTCCATGCTCGTTTCTCCTCCACTTGTGGACTGGCCAGGTAGGACGTAAGGGTGTGGGGGGAACCATATGAAGGGGTGAAAACAGCAGCGAGTTAACAGCAACACCATAGCTTGCCTACCTTACCATAATACCGTATTCCCTCGGATATACACCACTAGGTGCGTTTAAGGATTATAGTCAAAATTTGGGCGGTGCTTATAATTGAATTAATTTTATATGGCATGGTGGGAAATAAAGGGATTTATGGAAAATTCATATATGAACATGAAAATATAGCTGGAACAATTTCCAATCTGGTAGATGTGCTCCCGAACGGGAACGCCCCGAACAGACCCTTGAAAACCGCTCGACAGTAGATTGGCACGCCAAGTAGCAGGGTTGCTGCACTTTGCCAGTGAGCAAGGGTCGATCGCGGCCATCCGCTCCTCTCTAATCGCACAACAACAGAGGACATCTAACCAGATTTCGCGTGGCGAGCGAGGTGACAAGGACCGATTTCGTGTAAAGAAACGACTGGGGTAGGCGAATCTCAACTTGAATTTGACAGAAAATGCGGCCAATCCCAGCCAACAGACGGAAAATAAGGGGGTGCGTGCAGAGATTAGATCTTGGCCAACAACAGGGTGCGTATAAATGGCACACCCGATACGGCACCCCTCCGGATATACGCACGTGATGCATTTTATGCGGCGGTGCGTATATCCGGGGGAATACAGTAGGCACCTTCTCCAACCTATACGCGATCTTGAGTCGATTGAGATCCCTCAGTCACCGATCTAAGAAGGATCCAATCCATTCCATGCAGCATGGCAAAGTTGAGAGCAGTCAGTTGTACGATGTTTTCTGCCTCAGGCCCATCGTTCACTCATACCAAACCAATGAGTCACTGATCCAAGCAGCATTTTGTCCACTCTATGGGGCATGACACATTTCAAAGCAGTATGGATACTCGCTGTCTGCCTTGGAACAGTCATTGTGCATCGATGGGTCCATATGTGCTCGGACCGCCGCCACGGGCGAACTCAAGTTGTGGGGCCTGTCCGCGAGCAACCACTACAATTGCGTCTCTGGCACAAACCCAAAAAAAGTCTTATGTTTGCGTGTCAGCTTCATCAACGGTTGGAGTTGGATAGTCATAACATGAAGAGAGAGTTGAATGCATAGGCAACTGTACCTCAGAAAGAGGGGAGATAGGAGAGGGGAGACGAGATAGGAGAGAGTAGAGGGGAGAGGGGAGAGGGGAGAGGGGAGAGGGGAGAGGGGAGAGGGGAGAGGGGAGAGGGGAGAGGGGAGAGGGGAGAGGGGAGGGGGAAGAGGAGAGAGGGGAGAGGGGAGAGGGGAGAGGGGAGAGGGGAGGGGGCAACAGAAGCTGGTAGGGGTGGTGATTCTATGGGACATTATTGGTAAATTAACTGCTACACTACCTAATTGGCTGATGTTGCTATATAGGCAAGGGAGGCGTGAGAGAGCAGCTGCTGAAGGGGCTAGATATGTTGTGGAATGGTGTGAAACTTGCTACTTCTAACATTGAATTGCCATTTTCCAGAGGGTTGGAATGTTGAGGGCTGATTCCTATGAACCAAGATCAGGATCAGCCTCACACAGTACTGTAGGGTGCAAATATTGGAATCGCGTTTCAGTGCGGTTCAAATTGGTTCGGCACAAGTCTGATCCTGATCCAAGTGTGCAGGAATACGCCATGAGAGGTACCAGTAATGATTGTTGGAAATACAAACACACTGTTATACGAAGTTACTTCATGAGTTGTATTGATGGTGGGTGTTGT